CGGATTTTCCGGGCCCCCTCAGCTGCTGATGCTCCTTCCCTTGCCACGGGAGCCCAGCAGGACCCTGACCCTCCTCCACACGGCCAAAGGGGCTCGTGGTTGGGACCAGGAAAACCCCGAGGGAGGCTCCGGGGGCTCTGCTGCTCCGTGTGGGGTTGTGGCACTGGCAGAAGCAGCCAGAGCTGTGCCTGGATGTGGATTACACGGGCCAAGGGAGAGGCCCAGGCTGGGAGCTGCTCCTCCTGGGATTTGACACCGGGCTGTTGAATTTCAGCCTCATCCCACCGAGGATGACCTGCCCAGGGAACAAGGACTCCCCTCTCGGTGCCCCATTCCCCGGGGAGACATCTGGGCTGCTGGGGGGACACAAGGTGTTGGAACTGGCTGGGTAGTGGGAGCAAGCTGGGAATCAGCATGATGCCAACAGACAGGGGACAGCCCTGGGCCTCCCTGGGGGGATGCAGGTGACAAGGGATGGCTGTGACAGGGACAGTGTCAGCTGCAGTGGGACCAGCTCTGACACGAGGCCCAAGGACCCCCCGGCTGGGTGGGACCCCATCCAGGTGGCAGCTCCATGTCCCTGCCCAGCTGATGGAGCCTCCAGCCCCTCTCTGCAGGAGCCTTGAGCAGTGAGGTCACAGCAGGGGCTGGGGGAGCAGGACTGATCCCAGCACATCTCCCCAAAACACACCCCAAGCCCCAGAGAAGGAAAAGGGTTAAACTGGCGTCTGCCTGGAAGACATCCCTTCTCAGGAGCATCAGTTCAAGGTGCTGCTCACGTGCTTGCACCCTCTGCCTCCCTGGCTCCAGCCACCTCGCTGGGATATTCCCCACCTTCCCCAGGCTCCTCGGGACCACTCTTGGGCTGGAGGGGACTGAGGAGCCTGGGGGCAACGGGAGGATGCTGTGACAGCTGAAAAATGAGCCACCAGGCAGTGAGAGAAGTTTCTGAAAAGAGAAGAGGAATCTGCCTTGAACGAAGAGGATTTTAGCACCTAGGGCTAAGCCAATAAACCTCTGCCGTCCCCATCCGAACGGGAATTGTTTGCACACGCTCCAGGAGCTGCTTAAAGCTGGCGAGACACGGAGAGGGAATAGGATCACGCATTGTGGGGGGAGAAACCCCCCCTGCCTGGAGAGCCTGCGAGCAGATCCCGATAGTGCTGCCGGGGCAGTGCCCACCGGGACACGGGGCTCGCCCCGGGGCTCCCCCGGCCCTGAGCTCCCGGGGACGGGCTGTGCTGCCACCTCACCTCGGCAGGGCCAGGAAGGTGCTCCCAGAAGATGCTCTGTCCTGCTGAACACACCAGCCCTCTCCATCACCCACGGCCTCGGGCTGGCAGCGATTCAGGTCCCTGAGGTCCCCGTCGAGTGGCACAGTGGCACCATGGAGGCATCCGTCCCCGTGGGAGGTGTCACGGTGGCTCTCCTCTGCTGCTGCCTCCTGAGCTCTGCGTGGGCTCTGGTAAGTCCGCGTGGCCCCGTGGGCTGCTCCGGTCCCTCTCCCGGCTTTAAAGGTCGCCGGCTGTGCCGCCCTCCCCCGTCGGGGCCGTGTGCGCTCCCGGCCGCGCGTCCCGCTCCGCGGAGCTGCCGGGCAGGAGCCGGGCGGGGCGGGCAGAGCATCTCCACTCCTGCTAAAAGCTTTTCCAGCAGCCATGGAGGCACTGTGGCGTGATGGCTTTTCCATTTCTTGGCTGCATCCAGGGCAGGGTTCAGCGCCTCGGGGCGGGCGGTTTACGGTCAGCGCGGGCGAGGTTGGGGGGATGAGGCCAGGGCAGAGCTGGGCACACCCAGAGTGACTCCCAAAGCCAGGCCCTCACCCTGCTGGGGCACCCCCAGGGCCCCCACTAGTGCCCTACATCCCTAAGGAGTCTCCCACCCACCCAGATGCTGGGTCGGGGAGGAACATGAAAGGGAGTCCTCTCTGGGTCTGGAGTTGGCCGTGTCCCCATGGACTGTGGACAGTCTGGGAAGAGCAAACCCCCTGCATTCTGGCTCCTTTTCACTTCCAAAACTGTTTCCTCATCCCAGCTCCAAATTCCTTGCAGCAGCTCAGCCCAAAACATCCCAAAAGACGTTTGCACATGTGGTGTGACCAGGAGGCTGAAGGTGTCCCAGGCTGCACCGTCTGCCCCACCCAGCTCCAGGCACTGGGCACCCACTTGCTTGCTGAGCACTTTATCCAGAGGCTGCCAGAGCTGGCCTGGAGAGCTCAGCGTGGGAAAGAGGGACACCCAGCACCACTGGTGGGGGGGTGACACAGAGGGCAGGAGCCTGACATGCTGATGAAACATGGACATGGACCATAAACAGGGTGGGAGGGGACTTGGGGTCACCCTCAGCCTCGGAAGAGGGAAAAATGAGAGCAGGAAGGCAGGAAGAGCTTTTTTCTTCCCTGTGTTGTTGAATCTTCCCAAAGCCACCCCAACCTGACTCTGCTGGAGAGGGTTGGGAGAGTGTGGCCTGAGCCCAGGGGTCACTTTGGTTTGGTTCGGGCAGGTCGACCCTGATGATGTTCTCACAAAAGAAGAGCAGATCTATCTCCTGGTGGAGGCCAAGGAGAAGTGTCAGAGGGACATAAAGGCCCAGCTGGAGAAGATCAGAGGTATTGTCCCTCCCCTGTGCGTGGTCAGCCAGCCCCGGTGGAGAGGGTCACACCGTGGGAAATGCTGTCCCCACAATGGGATGGGGCCAGGGACATGTGGCTCCTGAGGGCTGCTCTGGGTGCAATTAGGTGCTAATCAAGGCATCACCCTGATGAGCCAGTGCTGGCTGCAGTGTTTTCCAGACAGCCCCAGGTACAACAGCAAAGGGAGCTGAGGAGGGGCCTTGGCCCCCCTGGAAGAGGGGATGGGATGGGATGGGATGGGATGGGATGGGATGGGATGGGATGGGATGGGATGTGTCTCCCTCCCTGGCTCCCGCACACTCCCCCAGCTCTGCAGCCCAGGGGGGACGTGTGGCAGCGTTTTCCTCTCCCTGGCCCAGCACACGCCCGGGGAAGGTGGAGGTTGTGCTGAGG